TCAATTTCCTATCTCTCAGTAGCCATTAATTGCCTTTATCTCTTCATCTAAGGGTGAGGCCTCATGAAAATTCTCCCATCCATGTTGAGCTTTTGAAGTAAAAAAAAAAAAAAAAAAAAAAAAGAAAAAAAGATGTCTTTCTAAACTGAGTGTTACCTAAAATAGATGATGACCATTTACACCTCAATTATCAAGTGAATTATTCATACAAAGTATAGACTTTAGAGTATTTTATTTGATGGACAAACATGGCCCTCAACTATACTAGAACTTTCTTGCTTAAAGTTCATTTCATTTAAATTATTTCCAGGTACTTACTGCCTCATGGTTGTTCCATGTTATAAGGATCCTAGAGTAAGCTAACATTAAATGATATGTTATTGTTGAAGATGGTATTCTCCTACGACTCTCTGAAACTTGAGGAGTAACAAATTGTAACAAAATTGATCTATCGATTGCTGAACTGGCATGAAGGAAGAATCATTGTTTCATCAAATTCTCCAGCTAGATCCTCGGCTTTAAAGAACTGTGGGCTTATGCTGTGGGTATGACTTCTAACTACTTTTCATCAGGAACATCTGCTTAACCTAGTGAAAAAAAAAAGTCTGTGTTTTTCCCCCATCCACATCTACAGTCCTTTGGGGAGTCTAGGCTTGATGGACTGATGAGCTGCTTTGCACTTTGTGCTGAGTTAGGCTTCTGTTTCTCTGTACTTTTCCAATGTCTTATCATCCTATCTTTGATTTCTGATGTTCTTTCAAAGTGTCTTATTAGAATGCAGTCTATATTTGCAAATATAGAATTCTTGAAATTCATTCACACATATGCAGGAGATCCTAATCTGCCATTTCTATCTGTCCCAATATTGATTGCTAAAGTTGGTAACAGCTGACACATTTTATTTCACAAGAAAATATGATATGCCAATTACCAAACAGTCAAAAAATGGTTGTGGTTATAATGTATGAAGGGTTAATATTGAAGGCAAAAATACAAGGTAGGTTCTTGTGCAGAGAGGTGATGCCCATGACTGGAAAAGGGATTAAGGAGCACAGATACAGGACTGCCAAGGGATAGAAC